GAGGAACTACAAACACTAGCTCAGGCCCGAGCATTGAAGATATGAATATGGTGAAAGTGGTTCAATCTGTTTATGGCGTTTCTCTTAGCCAACTACAAAAGGACTTAAATTCCGTGAAAAAAGAATGTACAGTACAGGTAGATAACTATTCATTTACAAATTATTAATTGTACGATGATTTATTTTATTGATTTTATGACTTTTTTCTTTTAGAAAGCGTTTGAGGATTTGCGAAATATCATAAACCACGTTAATCGTGGTTCTCCCTTCCCTGCTCGCAAGGAAGATTTCGATACAGATGATGCTTATGAGAAGTGGAAATCTATTGAAACAAAAACGATCAGAGATCTTATGGCTACCATGGCTTTAACAAATCCTGAAGTATTGTCCAAAGATCCCACTGATCATGTTTCTACGCTTTTGACATCTGATCCAAATAAACCATCATCTGCGCCCAAACGAACTAATTTCACTGAACCGGAAACACAACGTCACCAGCAACAGCAGCCACCTTACCATTCACCTTATTATCCTCATCCTCAGCAAACTTCGTATCAGTCTTATAATCAACCACCGTTCCAACAATATCAGCAGCCGCCTTATAATTCTCCGAGACCTCAATATCCTCACTATAACTACGGCCAAAGGCCTATGTATCCTTATAATCAACAACCTCAGCAGCATTCTCCTTACAATCAACCACCTCAGTCGTATTCTCCTTATAATCAGCCGCCTCAGTCACATTATAATCAACCATCAACGCAGCCTTCACATAGCGTAAAAGATCCTTTGTCTACTGAGGTTTGTTATATACTATATATTTTATGATATTTTATTTTTCAATCTACCTTTAATTTAAAAACACCCCTCTTATCATCTTATATCATCTTATTCTAGTCTAGTTCCTTTAGTTTCATTCCACAAAGTCCTCGGATTTATTACAAACTTTTAATGAACAGATGCATAGAATATGAGTTACAAAATGGTTCATCGGAAGACCTATCCATCAAAATTCTTTCAAAAGATGTCATAGGCTTGCTCAATGAATGTGCTTTACGTTGGAGAATTTCCCCGGCATTTCGATGGTTGCAATACCTGGATTTTATTAGGTCTCGTTTTGACAGTGAAGACCCTCTAATAAGATTAGATCACATTAAAGAAGGAATGCATCTGTTAAAGGATGCAATAAGACATAGAGATATTTCGACTTGGACTATTTCTGATGTTTGTTATTCACCTAAAATTAATCCTGCTTCGTTATTTTGTCGTTTCATATTTATTTGTAAAAATAACCTATTTCTTATTTCTGTAACAGAAAAGGGAACATGTGGAAGTCTTTTCAGGGATTCATGACACTTTATTAAATTACATGAAGGAAGCACTAGAACATGTATTTAAGATTAAACCTACAGAATTCGACCCTATAATATTTTTATTGAATTCGATATACGAGTCCGAACTATTCAAGTCTCATTACCGGGATGTGTCTCCTTTTTACAATGACCTTCGAGAGTGCGTTAGAGTAAGTTTTTTTGTGCTGTTTGTTATCTATAGGGTTTAAGTACTTCTACATATATATATATATAAACTCTTGTTAACATTAAAAAATTTTTTTTAATAACAAAAAAAGAAAGCGGCATTTGATGAATATAGATCAGGGGTAGACAAAATAAATGAAAAAGAAGCTTCTTCAAATGAAGTACAAAAGTTTACCGCTA